AGCTGGTGGTGTAGCTTAGTGGTAAAACACTTGCCTAGCATGCTTGAGGTCCTAAATTAAATCCCAGCAGCCCACAAAAAAGTGAGAGAAACAGTGTCCTGGACATTTACCAATATTGATATTTTATCAGAATCATGAATTACACATTGAGTTCTTTTACATAAGAGCCCACAAAATCCATATAATTACACATTGTCCCAGTTAGAAATCCTCCTAGATAAGTTTATCAATCACCAAGGGTAACTGAGGTGGTAAACTCACAAAGCAAGTGAAGAGCGCCCTCTAGTGGTTTAGAGCAACAACGGGAATGAATTAGTTCAATCTTATTTTTTTCTTAAACAATGTTATTATATTTTTCAATCTTTAAATCAGAATATGAAAATCTAGTTCTTCTAGTTTCTTAACGTCAGACACCCCCCTTATCCATAAGGAATTTTAAAAACTATGCTTAACTGATACACAAAATATTGTACATATTAATGGAGTACCATGTGATGTTTCAATACATGATACAATGTGTAATGTTTAAATCAGATTAAACATATCTATATAATTTTTATCTATAGTCATCCTAATATGCAATAGCACAGTGGAACTTCTTACGCCTATCTAACTGTAACTTCGTACTCATTGATCAACCTTTCCCGGTCCGCCTCAGCCCATGCCCACCCTAATAAGGAGTTTTTGTATTTCCAAAGACTCATTGTATAATGGACTACATTAGGATACACTATTTATATTGTCATATATTATTTAGGATATCTTTTACATAAGCCTCAAGGAAAATATTAGCGGGGGAAGTGTTTTCATTAAGAAATAATTCTTAACTAAAAACAAGTCAATATGGCACTTGTAAATAGAACCTCTTAATCTAAACTTTAAATTTTTTTTCTTAATTGTTGATAGACCTTTATTTTATTTATTTACATGTGGTGCTGAGAATTGAACCCAGTGTCTCACACATACCAGGTAAGTGCACTATGGCTGAGGCTTGGCCCCAGCCACTTAATCTAAACTTGACTCACAATTTACTGTGTATTTGTTTTGTTTTAGGGTGGGGTTGGGCATTGCCTTGGGACAGTTGGAGATTGTGATGAGGTTCCAAGGTAACTTAGAGTAATTCCTGTTATCAGGCATATGAGCAGAGAACTCCTTCTCTAGAACCTCCCAGCTTTACTCATTTTTGTTTTGAGAGCTCCTCACAGTTGACTCCATTTTGATCCTGACAACTTTCACATTACATGGGAGGTGCAAATTGGGGTAGGTAAAACAAATGCAATGCTCTGTCTTCACAGGAGGACAGGATAGGGTTCTGGGTCTTCCTGTGATTCTAAACGGGCCTTACTTACATTTGTTCTTTAATAGAAAAAAAAAGAAAAGAGACATTCATTAGAGAGCCATCTTGGATTGGATCACTGATACTTTAGTTATCAAGTTCTTCTATCATTTACATACTACAACGTCCTATCTTCCCCTAGCATAGCTTCCTGGGAGGCGAATGTGGTAAACTAGGCTTTACAAAGTCAGCAGGAGGTGCAAGTTCAATACCATTGTGTATTTTCAAATGTTTATAAAACTTCAGATTGTCCAAGCCCCTACTTTTCAATGATGGTATAGGGAATTTTGTTATTAAAACACCCAAATTTGGGCTGGGGCTGGGGCTCAGTTGTAGAGCGCTTGCCTAGCATGTGTGTGGCACTGGGTTCGATCCTTAGCATCAAAAATAAAGAAATAAAATAAAGATATTCTGTCCATCTATAACTACAAAACACCCAAATTCTTTCTCAGAACCAGTGTATACACACAAACTGATAATTTCATTGTGATCTTAAATGTCTTAAAACATAAAACAGAAACAAAAGGAAGTGATGAGAAGCCCCTTCACCCTTGACTTTCCACAAAACTAGTTTCACAGTCTGCCTCTCTTGTAGAACCTTCCGACTCACTCCACTGGTTCCATTCCTCTCTGCCTTCAATCTAGGGGATCCTTGAAATGTGAAGAACGGGTCATGAGAAGACACTATTGAGGAATGGAGCAAGTGTCATTTTAAAATCTGACATTTAAATCCACCTTCTCTATTCTTTGTTTTATTGTCACATTGACTAGTTTCAAATTCACAATGAGGAATGGGTAAAGATATCTACTTTCAAGCATAAAAGCAAAGAACAGAAGCCCAATGGGGTTTCTATTTATCATTTTAGCAAGAAAACTGTGAAGTAATTTTCTTGCAATATAATAATATTGTTAAGGAATCAGCTGTTCAATTGTAATAACATTGCATTTCTGCTATTTTATGTTATTTTCTCCGATAACTAAATAAAACAGTAAACAAAAGAGTGGGTCAATTCTTTTCATCTTGAAAAATCAACTTACCTTTTCTAGTTGCTGCATTATATTCTTTTTATTCCCATTCAAATGAATAATATAGGCCATGTTGCTATTCCCCCCACACCAAGATTCTGCTATTTACTTTCATACACATTGCACCAAAATTTTCTGTCCATCAATCTGGATACTTTCTATTGAACTGTCTTCCCATTTAGTAATCTTCTGTTGCTTCTAGCCTGTTAACCTCATCTGTTGAATTCTTATTTTCAGGCATTCTAAGTTTTAGTCCTAGAATTTGTTTCACTTCTGGAACTTCTCCTATATTTATGACATTTATTTTTAAAGTCCTTGTACAATATCTGCAGTATCTTTGTGTGGTCTGTAGGTTTTGTTTCCAGCATGCTACATATGATTGGATATGACCTTACAGATGGAAATCCATTGAGGTGCTGGATGAGAGCATGTTCTCTCTCAAGAAGGGCTAAGATTGCTTTTGCAATTAGACAGCTGCTAGTGTCCAGCTAGCCACCTTGGTTCCAGTAAATGTTAGTTTTAGGCTCTGTTAGGATTTTGCTTTTTCCAGGTATGCGACCCTCAGTTCTGGGGCCTGACCTTTATTCCTGCTTGAGCCCTCCCTCTTGTAGGATAACACAAAAAAACTCAGGATGTTGCCTAGATGCATCTTAGTTGCCGAGGAACCCTGTGCTGAGGAAATCAGTCCTTTAGCTTCCCAGACAGGGGTGGGATTCAGGTGAGATAAGGAAGGTGTCTAAGGCAAGGCACCACCATGAAAATGAGCACTTGTACTCCTGAGGGGCCTCTGGCCTCACCCTAGTCCTTGATGCTGCTCTCTGCTACTGTTTCCTGTGGAGTTTTAGGATTCATTGTCTTGAAATGACCCCATGTGTTGGGGGGGGAGGGGGCTGCCTTCTCTGTACACTCTCCTCTTTTGAATTTGTCCTTTAAATTTCTAGCTTTTTGTCAGTTTTCTCTGCTCAGTAAGACTGCCACATTTACATTCCCTCCCCTTCACCCCTCAGGGAGCTGTCAAGTGTTCTTAGGGAAAAGATGGGGGTGAAGGTGTGCTGGTCCCAATGCTTGCCGTTTTTTAAGGTTCAGAGCCCTTCATGTTCCTGGCTACACTGGTTACCCTCCAACACCAACAATGGGTACTTATGCTTTTGTCTAAACAAATTAGTCTCTTTTACTGATTGCTGGCATATGCAATAGACCAGACTTTGGTTCTGGTCTTTTGGGGATGCTGTTTCAAACCAGGCCATCCTTTGGCCTCAACCAAATGTGCATTTATTGTTTCTGAATAATTTTTATTAATATGACAAAATGTTGTTTGTTTGTTTGGTGCCGGGGATCGAACCCAAGGCCTTGTGTATGCAAGGCAAGCACTCTACCAACTGAGCTATATCCTCAGCCCTGATATGACAAAACATCGTATTATAAATGTTAAGGAAAAAGCTAAGCTCCAAACCATATATAATGTAACCTAACTTTAAAAATCATCCTCATCTGTACATGTATACACACCTGTTTATCTGGCCAGATGAAAAATAAAATGTTAAGTTATTTCTAGGTAACAGAACTATGTGTTATTTCAACTTTTAAAGGGTTTCCATGTTTTAAAAGGATCAATTAAAATATTACTAGCTACTTTCAGGTGATAGGATTGTGTTTTTTAAAAGGTTTTCCATATTCTCTAAAGGTACAATACTACTTTTTATTTTTGGATACCGGGGATTGAACCCAAGATTTCTTAACCACTGAGCCACATCCCCAACCCTTTTTAGTTCTATTTTGAGACAGGGGCTCAATTAAGTTGCTTAGGGCCTCGCTAAATTGCTGATGCTGCCTCTGAACTTTGAATCCTTCTGCCAGTTGCTGGGATTATAGCTGTGAACCACCATGCCAGGCAAACACTTTCTTTTTTAACAAAAAGTTTTTATAACAAAATGTTCTTCACATCCAAAGTGAATCATATATCATTGAACAAGAATGTGAATGTGGATATATTCGATATACTTAAAGATGGCCAAGAAAAAAGTAGGAGTCCTAGTAGACTGCCAAAAAAATAAAGTGAATTATTCATGTGTAGAGTGATGGGAAGTTAAAATAATCATGGGATTGCCCAGTTTATAGAGCTCAACAGTTTTATCAAATTGTACAATGATGCATAAATTGCTGGGTCCACTTACATTCACATTTTAGATTTTTGATACTGATATATCCAGGATTTGATTGTTCCTTTCAACACCATCATAATTATCAGGAAACCCTGTTAAGAAAATTCTAAAATAATTTCTCCAAAAGGCTTTATAATTTTTTATGTCAGGCCACTCTTTCTGACCAAAGTATGACTTGATTCACAAACTTTCACAATCCCTGTTGGAAAACACAAGATAATTCCTAATGATGGCAGGACCCACTTTTCTTGTTTTGTATTTTTGTAAATAAATTTCACGATAATAAATAACCACCACTATCTGAGAATGTTAAAAACTTAACTTATGGTGACACTGGTGTAGGTACTGACTAAGGTGCTGACTAAATGGTGTAGGTACTGACTAAATTTTTCAAATTTAGCAAACCCAACTCTCTCTCTCTCTCACACTCATACACACACAAACACACACACAAACAAAATCTCCAAAACCAATCATAAATGCCAACGTTATATGTTTTATTTTTAATCAAGTAATTTTAAGCCTCAAAATATCCATAATTGAAAGAATAAGACATGAAGCATGAAGTGAGAATATAAACCCATGTCTACAGAAAGACAAATAGCGCTTCAGTCCACCGAGGTGACTGACCATGCGAGAAGTGCCATTCCAAACATTGACTCCATTTTTGTCCTTTAGAAACAGTTCAAGTGTTTTTCTTCTTCACTTGTAAACAACATGAGTCAAAATGGACAATGAGGTGATCTAAATACTACGCAGGATTACTTCAAAACACTAGATAAAACACCGTATTAAAGACATATAGAAATCAGGGTCCACTTTGGTCTCTAGTATGGTTAGAGTTGTTAATACCAAAAAAGCAACACACACTAATTAAAGCCAGCTTGGTAGTGGGTGCCAGTGGCTGACAGATGTAGGCGATTCAAGAGGTAGTCAACAACATTATGTTCAAGCTGGTAACTCTCACAAGGGTTAAGCCACAGATGTATTAAATATAATACTTTCTCACGGTACAGTACTTTACCATAACTTTGCAGCTTTGTTCCAAACATAAAATTAACAAGGAATCATAGGTCAACCTTCCACTCTAAGTGAACAACTAGGAATCAGATCACACAATCACCACATCTTAAAGAGGTTGTTGACAGTTATGCGAGACAGAATTCGAAGCTTTCAACAAGTGTTCTTTCCTAAAACAAATCTCATTAAGACATCTAGAAAATTAAAGTCAGTGCGGCTGTACTTGTACATACTTTCCCAATTTTTATAACCGTGGGAAACACACATATATATTTTATGATAAACATTTCTTAGAGAAAACAGATAAATTAATTTAAGTTAACTTTAAGACTTAATGAGATTTCCCATGGCCTGTATAACTCATCATACAGTGAACGTTAGAATCTATTAACACTTATGGGCTTCTATTCACAAACTAAATACAACCAGCAGTAACTTGGGACTGCGCTGGTGCAAAATAAGACTGAGCCAGAATTCAAGGAAAAAAATATTGGCAATAAAAAATATCCTATATTTGGAGGTGGGCTGATGTTAATAACATGTTGCTGGTATATTTTTACATTGCACACTAAACTTCCAAGTTAAAAGCAGGTGAAAATCTTTCTAAGAATCTTTCCATTTTAAAAATACATCCCAAGACTAGAAATGCAAGTATAAAAATGTTTCCACTATAATCTGCCATGTAGCAAATATGTAGCTTACAGGCTAAGAGACTGGTAGTGCATCTTCTTTAGGAATTACATTTGTGTTGACACGAGGGTGAGGTCAAGGGACAGCTTAATTCACAGACCCTCTTCCCTCAGTAGCTAGGAATGCATTGCACTTTTGAGTTCACTCCTTGGCAAGCCAGTGCTAGTTAGTTAAGCCTCGGGAGCTGCAATATGCTTTGGTGCAGGGCAGCAGAGATATGTAAATGAAGGAGATTGGCATCTTTTATAACTGTTTGCCCAGCACGAGCTCCCTCATCCTCAAATTCCTGCTACCCCTTCTTGCCCCCCACCTCTGGGCAAAGCAGCTATTTCCAAGATTGCTTCTGTGTTCTGTTTTGCTTAAGTAGAAGAGTGCCCATAATTCTTTAAACTAAATACAAGATAACTTCAAGGAAATACTTGGAGCCTTAGCTGACTAAAACAAGATGCTTCATTATTCACAAGAGTTTGTGAAAAACACACAGTTGTGATTTGCTATCTATAATATAGATAAAAAAGATTCTGTACCAGAGTTGTCAGCCACATGAAGCTGGAGCAGCATAAAGGTGTGCTATGTATCAACTATGAGGTAGCTGTGTGCTGTAAACACAGTATTTAACCCATGCAAATGAACCATGTGCTCACATCAGCGATCTTCACATCTGGAAGGAGTTGAGGGATTTTCACATGAAATAAAAACAGAAGAACTGATATCTGCTATTCAGGATTTTGATCTCAGTCAAACTTGGAGGTAGTTGCTAATATCAAGTACACATACTCACACAAAGTTCTGTTATTTGGCTTGTTTTGAGTAAGCAGGACTGTAGACTACACTGTAAAGAAACAACAACATTATATGATATGTTCCCTGAGCAAAGTTCTTTGTCCTGAGTATGTTATGCAATAGTGGCAATTTTCTCATATAAAAAATAAATCCCAACTCTTAACCATAAGATAGGTTTGGTATGTGCTTTTAGTAGTTCAGTCTGGTCAGATGCTGGAACAGATTTTAAATTGCACCTATATGGTCCACAGTTCTCAAGTGTTTCTGTTTTCATTTTATACCATGATCTCAGCTCTGAACTTTTATATGTAAACAGGAATGTCCAATGTTCAAGTCCATAATTTCCTATGTCTATAAAGTCAAGGAACTTTGGTTTGAAATTTCAAAGTGACGTATTTTGCATTTTACTGTTAACCTGCTTGTTATACCTGCTAAAACTTAAGCAATGCCACTTTGATTTGTCTACATAATTTAAATAAGCTTGAAATCCTCACATAAGGCAAGGAAGTACTTCTCTACAGCTATATCACATTCAATATCGTCAAAGGTAAGCTTTGCATCACAGCACACTGATATTTCAATATATACCATGGAGATTCTCAAACACTGTCATAAAATTCAAGCTGAGCTGTAAAGCACTGGCAGGCCAGTCTGAGGCATTTTCTTCTGGTGGCTTGCTGAAACAGCAGCGACTATACCAATATCCCACGACAGCACATGTGGGAGAGGGAGCAGGAACTGTTCAGCAGAACATATCACATTTGAGTCATTCTAATTTCTTTCTGATTATCTGAGCTTATGCCAACAGGCCCATACAAAACTATATTTATTGCCAATATTAAGCATATAATTAACTGATACCTTCTTAGAGATGTTTCAGAAATTTGCCTACAACATCTAGAACCAGGATGACTCCAAAATAACTTTGTTCATGACTGAAACATTAAGGGACCAGTACTACAACTGGTCCCTAGCCAGTTTGTTACTATAACTGAGAACCAATCCCAGAAGATTCTCATCCTCAGTATCTGTTTATCCTGAATTCACCATATGGGTTACTTCAGCCTAAGCACCGAAGGTAACTTCCATCAGATCAATGTTACTGTATGAGATACTTATAGCTACGTGGTTGGAGAGGTTTTTCCCTCTGCCCCAGGCTTGTCACTCTAGTTGCCTGCCACCAAACATAACACTTTTTAGCATCATTCACAGGTCATACCTATTGGGCAACTGTGAACATCTGCTGAATTTTCATTCTCAACCCCAGTATTTTATTCATTTCCATGCTGCTTTTTTTGTTTGTTTCAGAAACGAGTTAGAGAACTCTCCACGGGAAATAAAATCAGCCACCAAAATATACACCAAATGATTGGAGTTTTCCTCTAAGGTCTTCAGTAGTTAAAAAAAAAAAAAGGAGGGCTCCCTACTCTACGTGATGGTCAGAAGATCGACTTGGTCAAGGGAAGCTGCTATTGCCACAATCCTTTAAAAACTTCAGAACATGTAAAAGATAACAATGATTTGATATCAAAATACCATTGAAAATAATCAAGTCACTACATTTATACATCACCCTCCCCTTCATTTCTCTTAATAGGCATGTGATTTATAATCAAAACATAGAATTAAAAACATTGAAATATCGGCACAGAAATTACACATTCATTGTCTTTTCTGGAGTTATGTAGCCCAGAATCAAAAATGCTTATGGCAGTTAGAGGCATACGGAGTTAAGGTACTACCTTCAAACAGGAGAGAATGAGAAAAAAAAAAAAAAACTCCATAGATATATTTAAGAAAAAAAAAGGCAATCTCAAACTTGAGAGAAAATGGATATCTTAAAAACCTTTAGTACCATATGACTGGCAGCTCTGAGATCTGAAGTATCCTTTGGTTCACCCAAAAGGTAACAGTCATGGTTTTATTTTTATGTAATATAAAAGAAGTGGTACTTAAAAGAACTCCAGGGGTTGTTTTTGAAACCATCTTAAATGCTTCACGTGGATTTTCAATTCTTGGAGATGTCCAATTATGTGAGGGAGGGTGTGTGCTTACAGCTACATACACACATATATAAAGATAACCCCTCTTTATATGTATGTCTACATTCCTGTGTAAAATCTTCATACAAACACACACAGATTCAGGCTCTCTCCCTCTCACACATGTACATACTGATACACAGTATCTCATTCTCTGAATTATATAAAACATGACACCCTGCTCAAATGCAATTTACTTAGAGTGATTTGTCTGTTTAAAAAAATTCACAGTTCCTCAACAGTAGTTAAAATCCCAGGTCAGCTGCTGTCTGTGAAATACTGTTCCCCTGTACTTGCATGAGGTAGACTTCCCAACTGGGTAGAGAACATGATACGTTAAGAAGTATTATGTCTTTTTCCTTTTCTGAACTGAAGGCCCCTTCTTGTTTTGCTCTTCTGGTGCTGCAGAAGCCTTTGCAGAGGAAGCTTCTTGGGGTGACCTGCCTGACCGTTCTGAGATCTCTGACCTAGCCTCCTGAGGAAATGGTGGGGATGTGCAGCCGTGCCCACCTCCCACTTCTCGCGGGGAGGTCGAAGCGCATGGCTGGGATTCTGCTTCCTGTCTTCCCTGAGAACTGGCAGGCAGCTGTGCAACAGTTTTATGTGGGCAGTTTGCCACCATGTGCATGATGCTCTGACAGTAATGGCACTTCTTTGGCTGAGGAGGTAGACTACATTCCTTAGCATGATGATCAAGGCCACCACAGTTGTAGCATCTGCAAGCAAGAATGAAGAAAACATCTTAGATGTAGGTAGTATGCTTTGTTAAAAATTTAAAGTAAAAATTTGATAAGCAATGCAATTATGTAAAATAATCATTTACTCAGGAATGTAGACATTAGCTTTAAAATACCAAAATACACAAACTGTCTATGAGATCGGCTTATTTTAATGTACCTTCTTAAAAGTAATGTTATTTATACCGTTATGTTATATTGGTTGCTTCAAGGACATCAGCACCAAAACATTCTGGCAACTTTAAAAAATTAATTTTGTTAAACATAACAATCAATGAAAAGCATAAGTACTAAAACATGAAAGAATACTCATTGCCATTTACAGATGACTTGTTTAAATTTAACAGGGTATCATATTTTATTTTTGTGGTACTGGGTATTGAACCTAGGGACCCTCTACCACTGAGCTATATCCCCAGCCTTTTTTATTTTGTGACAGGGTCTCATTAAATTGCCCAGGCTAGCCTTGAACTTGCAATCCTCCTGTTCAACATCCCAAGTGTCTAGTATCACAGGTGCGCATCACCACAACAGGTCCATCAGGTTATTTTTAGAGAACAGGTTAGTCCACTAGAGGGCAGTCAATATTCAACAAAATAGCCAGGTAGCTTTGAAAACAACAGTATAAAAATACAGCTGTTTGCTGTGATGTGAAATAGCAATTTGCTCAGCAAATGGGAAAATATGGACCAAATTAAATTTTATGAATTTAACACCTCTTTGGGTGTTAATTATTTTTACTGTGGAAGCCAGCAGAACTAAAGCTTTTCCTTTGTACAAAATTAAGTAGTACACTGAAATTTGATATATAAATAAAATATCAAGTCAGAAAATCTGGCAATTTACCAACTAATTTTATAGCAACACCAGGATAATACTATAAAACAAACATTCTAAATACTTAGGTCAGATTAAATAAAGTATTGCACTAGTTTAGTGACCAGAAAAGTTTACTTTCTTTTCCCTGTGGAAATTAGTTTTCCTTAGGGTGAATTTTTCTACATTAGAATAAAGAGTAATCCATAATATTTGAATGTACACAGGAGAGACAAGGTTTTGTAGTAGATGTTTGAAAATTTAAGTTAGTTTCTAACTTAAATTTAAATTTAATTTAGCTGAGCAAGGAAATTATTTGGAAGCTATCTCGGCTCAATTTCAATACATGTTTTTCTTTTAAGTTGAGATATTAAAAACAACAAAAGAAGTGCAGAAATAAAGGAAAATTTATATTTACAAAGGTTAATCTGAATATTGCAGATAGAATTTATTTAGTGATTTGTTTTCAAGTAAAATGTTTTAAAAGCTTTCTAGTTTAAATTTATTTTCTAAATACATTTATGATTCCACAATTCTCATTACAAAGCACAAATAACAGGTTACGATGTTAAAAAAGAAAACACAGATAAATATGTAGTAACTGTGAGAATTACTGTAAGACCATAGGAACAACAAAAGTTAACTGTAACTAATTATATTTGTACATGTGTGAGGCAGTATCCAGCTCAACAACTTACACTACCTTATATGTCAAAGACAAACTCCTAACCTAATAAGCAGTATATGTAGAATATTTAATATTTTATCTTCTGGGATCCCTTTCACAGGTGAATTTTCTCAATTGGCAAAAACAATGGCAACTATTGTCTTCTTTCTAGTTATCAATATTAACCTTACAGATTGTAGAATAATGGATTCACAAGACAGGCTTTTATGCTGTGCAGTGTTAATTTGTTAACTTACTATTTATCCTTGTGGTGACTTTTCCATAGGTTAAAAAATGCATATAATTACTTATATCATGTATATTATCTTTGCAACATTAAGGTGATTGATTATACTATATTTATGTATTATCCTAGTTTTTTTTAAAATTTAAGTTTAGGGTTTTTTTTTTTTACTTAAGTTAGATATATATATACATATATTCAACACAGGATCATACTTACAAAAATTAAAGAGAAAACCAAAAAAATCATGTGTTTTGATTATTTATTGTATTAACTCATAAGTTAACAAAAAAACATTACAGTACAGATTCAATACTGTTTCAACCATATGCTCTAAGAGATGGTGTCAAATTAAAGAATAAAAATTACTGACAAATGCTTGAAATCCACACAGAATAACATTCTCAAAATGGCATCTTTGAAATGTGACCCCATTACGTATGATAATGTTTTCCCATATAGTTCTCTTCTATAATGGGTAAGTGAATACTACATTAAATTTGCCCATCTGTAAAGTATCTTTCTTTTGAATTAAGTCCACTTGCTGAGGATAACATCCAGTTAGGAGCTCATTTTCAGAGAGAGAAAAACAGGGCAGAGGGCTCAGTAAAGAGATGGCTCTCCTGCTGACATGTCGATTTCATGTCACTGTGGCATGCACCGTGGTCTTTGACTAGGGAACTATTCTGCCCACTTTCACAAATGGCATCTTTGATTACACTCTATGCATTTAGTACCTTTGGGTTGTAAGAGTTGTTTATAAGGATACTACATAATTTTGGTTTTCATGAATTCTGATCTGCATAGTTAATTCACCCCCTTGGCTTTTCAGATACATGCTATCATATGGCCAGGCTTTGCCTTCCACATTGAAAAGATTTGCATTCAGTGTATATGTGCTTGGTTTTAGAAGGGGGAGGAGTAGTATTTATTCTCCTTTTCTATTTAATCATTCAGTGTCAATCATTCTTACTAAGAGTGCAGATCACATCCCATTAAGAAATCCCTTCCTTCCCAAGGGACTAACACCAAAATGGAAATGTCCAGCTACCTTTCAGCTCATAAATGATACCATTACCACAAACTCCACCAAGCTATATGTGGTTCTGGTCCCTTTTGTTCACACTCCACACTTCTCCAAATCAGCTTGTTTTTTATTAGTTTGTATGAATTTTACATTGTGATGTAAGTATAAAAATGGCAAGTGTGGCCACATTCAGCTACATGCTTAAGAAATATAAGGGTATAGTGTCACAATCAAAGACTACACAAAGAAAACTACAAACATATTTTGTTATATATATGCATAGCCCCACATAAAAAATAAAATACTTTGCTTGCCTATTACAAGTGAAACCCTGGGATGGATCCCCAGCACAGAAAAAAAAAATTAAAATAATAGACAAATAAAATTATACGTTAAGTATTTTATAAAATGCTGAACCAATGATACAAAGTATGTTTTCTTACCTATTAAACCTAAAGATGAAACAAAAATATTCTATTTAATCTTAGAATGGTTAAGTTATTCATAAAATTATAAATACTTCTAACAACCTAACACATTCTCTAAGTATTATTTATTTTAAAAACTCTAAAGAGTAAAACAAAAATTGAAGTCATTTTAAAAGACTATCAAAGTAAGATTAAAATTTTTAACTGAAAGGAGAACTGCCTATCACCAGATAGAGCACCTAAGATGGCCAAGTAAATAGGAACCAATCTTTTAGGCTTTTATAAATCAAGACTACAAGACTGTATCAGAAAATAGGTTAATAAAAATATCCAAATTTCCTAAGCCTTCATTTTTAAAAGGAAAACTGTGCTCAGTAATAAGAATTTAGGTCTGCTATGACCCTTGGAAAATCTCAAATTTTGAGGTCCAAACAAAGAAATACATAAATTATATTTTCAAATGATATCACAGCAATAATGTTCAGAACTAAGCTCAACTGAGGATCACTATAAGTATACAGAGACTTTCAAGTGATACTTCAAATGTCTTAAATTAAAGGCTTCATCAAATGTAGGTTTCCCTTGATCCCAAAAGTGATCACAACAACAAAAATTAGGGAGAGAAATGATATTACAGAGAGAGAGAGCTAGCCAACCAGATGTAGCTATCTAAAAGTGTAAGTTACGTGCTTCTCCATTGACTAAGAATTTATATGGAAATTCAAATCTAAGAGGGCCAGACATTAAGGACAAAGATACAATGATCTGCAAGCTTCTCAACAGAAAGGAAATGTTGGGAGAATAGTAAGTAAAGCAGTATTAGGGACAAAGAATAGAGCAGAAAAAGTGATAGTTTTAGGCAGGAAAAGGTATAAGCCAGGAATAGATAAAAATCCCTGGAAAAGAAAGATGAGAAAAAGCATTGGTAAAGTTTCCAAATGGGATGCCAGAGGGGCTTAAGAAAAGTCAGATTGTACAGAATTTCAGAACCCAAATTGTAAAGATAAACCATATTTAATATAGGTTTCAAGTGAAATCCAGAAAGGAGGGGTTGGGAATATATCTTAGCATGCATGAGGCCCTTAATTCAACTCTCAGCAGCAAAAAAAAAAAGAAAAAAAAAAAGAGAGAGAGAGAGAGAGAGAGAGAAAACCCCTCACACAAAAACCAAATAACCCCCAAACAAACCAAAAACAAAACCCAGAAATGATACTGATAACATTCCTCAATTTTATATTTTTGATTCTAATAAATCTGAATACTTGTTTCTAATCAGTAAGTGTCAATTAGCCCAGAACATGGGAATGCTGGACCCCAGCCTGGTGGTGTTGGAGGTAGGTGGGTAGAAATATTATCAGAGAATTCAAGAAATATTATCAGAGAATTCAAGAGAGCCAAAAGGAAAAGACCCAGAACATAGCTTTTGATAGAACAATGTGCCCACCCTATGCCTTCTGAGAGTATGCCTCCTGAGAGCATTTTGTCCTGATAGCTTTTATTCAATCTAAATTATATATGTTTGCGTATGGCTTATTCTTTCCATAGGCTCTACCCCAAAATACCCAGAAGAGAGTTAAGAAACTGTTGAATCACAGAACTAGAGATGTCCTTCAACAATACTCACGTTTCTCTATCAAAAAGAAACATGTGCTTTATAGAGTTTGCTTCTTTTATTTCATTCTTCTTAAACCAAACTTCTAAGACTGTAAGCCAGACTATATAACATTTAATAAAGTTAATTTAAAAAATATTCTTCCTAAGTACAATAGGTAAGAACATTGAATTTTCAAAAATACC